CATGCTCCGCGGCTGCAGAAACCACCAAACTTTTTCCCCCAAGCGACTGCCTTCAGCTCTATCCCCCGCTCCGCGCGAGCCGCCCGAGGAAGGGGTGGCGCGGGCGGCCAGGAGCCGGGCTCCCTTCTCCTTACCTCGCCTCTCCCCTCCAGGAAAACAGGACTCCAGAGCGGGCTAAGTGGCGGGTCAGGGGGCAGCGCTCCGGGCGGGTAGGTGCCGCCACCCCCGGCCTCCAGGACAGCGAGTGCCATTTCGAATGCAAAGGCCAGAGTCCTGACTGTCCAGAGTCCCCCCAGCCCACTTGGCCTGCGCTTCCCTCGGACCAAGAAAAGGCAAGAAGGAGGCCAGAAGGGAACACGGCTCCTCCCCACTCCTCCAACGCCAGCTCCCGCGCTCCGTCTCTGGCCACCCGAAGGAAGACGCCTCGAGGGTGGCAGTGAAGCTGGCGCGCCCCGTCCGCGACTGCGCGCCGGTCGGCGACCGTCGAGGCCAGAAGTTGTGAGCGTCGAGAGCTAAGTTGGCCCAAGAGGCCAAGCGCGGAGATCGCAGGCAGCTGAGAGAAGGCGGGGGGAACGGCAGGGCGGTCTAGGGGGAAAGAGGGCGGAGTGGCGGGCTGGGCGCGCGGAGTGGGGGCTAGTGGAGACCGCCAGGCCCCGGGAGCGGGCTGCGGAGCCGGCGGGAGGTGGAGGCGCCAGGGGCGATGCCTCGGCCGGGAAAGAGTTCGTACAGCGACCAAAAGCCGCCCTACTCGTACATCTCGCTGACCGCCATGGCCATCCAGCACTCGGCCGAGAAGATGCTGCCGCTGAGCGACATCTACAAGTTCATCATGGAGCGCTTCCCCTACTACCGCGAGCACACGCAGCGCTGGCAGAACAGCCTGCGCCACAACCTCTCCTTCAACGACTGCTTCATCAAGATCCCGCGGCGGCCCGACCAGCCCGGCAAGGGCAGCTTCTGGGCGCTGCATCCCGACTGCGGCGACATGTTCGAGAACGGCAGCTTCCTGCGGCGCCGCAAGCGCTTCAAGGTGCTGCGCGCGGACCACACTCACCTGCACGCGGGAAGCACCAAGGGCGCGCCAGGCGCGGGGCCGGGGGGGCACCTGCACCCCCACCA